CGACTCTTCAGGTCGACTAAACACTCGGCAGGTATCATTCCATCTTTATCTTCGCAAATCCCATAACCATCTGCCTTCAACCACGAAGGCCCATGGAACCATAAATCAGACCTTTCTTGAAATTCCTGTACATTAGCACCTCTTGACGAAATATTGGCTGGGTTTTCGGTTCCTGAGCAGTGTCTCCAATGTGATACAGATGTCAAACTTCTAATTTCAATGACTCGGTTCTGAACGAACTGTTTCCATTCCTTCTCCTCCCGTTGTATCCAATATAGAGCTATCTTCGAGTCTGTGTAATAAAAAGTTTACGTAACATTAATTCAGATGAAAGCGCTAATGTCACCGTATTGACTAATCTGGAGAGCAGTAATGCAGACAATAGCTCAAGTTGGTGAATTGTGATGGACTTGATGGGCGCTACTCGTGTTTTCGAACAAAGCAATTTTGTCAAATGACCCACCTCCGTCCTCACTACTAAGTATATTATGGCGGCATATGCCTTCAAAGAAGCATTGCAAAATCCATGAAGGGAACAACTGAGAATATTGGCACCATTTCCTTGTGAACAAGGAATTTCAATTGGCTTAAACTCTCGAAGACTCTTAAGTAGGCGTGTCCAATGAACAAAAAGTTCCTCAGGTAGTTCACCATCCCAAGAGATCTTCGCTTCACACAATATCTGAAACAGAATCTTAAAACAAATAATATTGGGGGAAAGCATGCCAAGCGGATCAAAGAATCTTGTTGCTATACCTACAATGCCTCTCTTTGTAGGCATTGTCTTCTCCGTTTCCTCTATTATGCTTCTCATATCAAAAATCAACACATCTCTTCCAGGGTTCCACAGTACTCCAAGAACCTTGTGATCTCTTCCCATATCCCCAATATCTTCAATACTTAATCTTTCATGCAATTGGCGTGAGTTAGTCATAAACTTTCTCAACTTGAACCCCGCTTCTGACAATCCTTGTTTTGATTTCTCATAGAACTCATAAGCAGAATCAACATTACTTAGACTTACAGTGAGATCATCTACATACATAGATCTAAGAAACTTGTCAACAAATACAGGCTCCATCTCTTGCAACTTTCTAATGTGGGTATCAATAGTTATGTTTAAAAGAAAGGGACTTGAAGTGACCCCAAACACTACACGAGTGAATCGTAATTTCTCAAACTCTACAGGCTCAGTATTCAAGTCCTTTACCCACAAAAATCTTAAGGAATCACGGTCTTCCCTTGTTATCCCTACCATCAAAAAAGCCTTTTCAATGTCTCCTACCAAAGCTATACTATGACACCGAAACCTTAAGATAATATCGAAAATATTTTAATTAAATGGGGGTTCCCCAACAGTCTTTAAAGGAAAGACCATTTACTCTAGTGGATGCGTCATACACAATCCTCACCTTTGATGTAGCTTTGTCCTAACAAATCACAGGATGATGAGGCAGATAGTGTTCCCTCACTGGATTAGTAGGCGGAGCTAGCTCAACAATTCTCTTCTTCAATTGGTCCTGAATAATCTTGTCGTACTCCATAAGCAGCTCTGGGTCCCGTTGGAGTCTCCGCAGCAATCCTTGTAGTCTCCGTTGACATAACTCAAGGTTAGTTGGTAGTCCAGGATGTGATTCCTTCCATGGTAAACTGACAACATAGCGTTGCTCCTTAATGTAATGTGTTGCTT